TAATCTTTCAGGTATTGGAAAGAAAAGTCAAGTTAATGGCGATTCTTTCAAGCTAATTATAGTTTTTTTCCTTCCAGAGGTTATCAGATTTCTTTTGGATAGTTTAACATGTAACATGGGAATTTATCGGTGCAATGAATTGATTTCAATAAGAAATAAATTTAAATGTATTATAAGTGAAGGAAAAAGTGAGGGAGTTTCAATGAGAAATAAGAAGAAGAGAAAAAGTTGAGAGAGAGAGAGAGAGAATTGAATTCATGATAAAAGGTATTATAAGAGGCTCAATAGTGTAAGAGAGTAAATGATAATGTAGGAAGAGAAAAAAATAATTTCTTTTCGAATAATTTTTTCACTTCTATTCTGAACAAAGAAAACAATATGAATATGAAACCTATGAAATGCTCTTTATCAGGTAAAAAGAATAGTAAATTGTGACAAGGTTTCTTTTCCTTATTTTCTCTCATGATTGTCGCATTTTCTGTCATCTTCAACATTTACCTTTTCTTTTCGAATATTTTTTTCTTTGGTACTTTAACCCTATCTCTCTCTCTCACTCACTCACTCTATTCTCCGCATCCATTTGAGCTTCTTAAAGAATTTCTTCCACTCTTAAAGCAGAAATGTTCTACTTTCTCTTCCCATTTAACCTTTTCTTATTCTTCTTCTCCAGAAAATCAGCTAATTAGAATTGGAACAATTTACCTTTTCTCTTTTCATTAGCTCAACTTGGAGAAAAAAAGAAAAAGATGAAGATGAAGTTTCCATCTATAAGAATTGATTCATATTTACATATATCTGAATGATTTTCATTTTCTACATCATTATAACTCATCTCTCTCTCTCTCACCCCAATTCTGTGTGACTTTCATGTTTCCATCATGAGAAAAGATTAACATTGCAACCATGATAACAATCATCATGTTCATCATTTTATCTGTTATTTGTTTTCTCATTTTAATATACCGATCAACAGATTATCATCATCATCATATCACCATGATTATTAGTTTGATTATTTGTCTTCTGTTGATTTATTATCATCTTATTAACCAACAACAACTTCAAATATGATAATTAACTGCCAATGATAATCCAGAAACATAATGGTAATCATGTATTATCATAATGCTACATTTTCAAGATAATTAAAACCCTTGAATCTGATATTTTCATATCGTACAATTAGTTGATCATTTACAAGATAATCTTAATAATACATTCAGATTAATAATCTAACCAAAAACTTGATCATCTAAATCATTTCTTGTTTTCTAATCTATTGATTAAATGTAATTGATTAAACTCTTGTATAATATTTACAATCAACAATTAGATTACGATTGTATCATCGCTAACATAAATGTAATTGTAATTGTTGATCCTAAAAATTAATCATCATTTGATTGTTTAATTTAAATGAAACATAATCAAATTGAATGTCAAGAAAATGATAAAATCAAAAGTAACTTAATCAATGTGACAATTTAGTTTTTCAGTTAAAATTGGATCACTTTGATTTAGGTTTAAAGATATTGTTCAATTGATTATATTTGGTACATATACCAAATTGATTGTATTAATTAACTGTACTAATACAATTAGTACAGTAACTGTAGTAGCGAGATTAAATTGATTAATTCAATATTGATCAAAGTATCTTAATTTAATTCTCATTGAATTTTATATTAGATTGAATTGATTCCTATTTTTCCCTGGACTTTTCATTGACTCCCTGAGGATAAATATTACATTTTATCATTTAAACACTTTTCTGGTTCATCATCATTTCAACTGATTATTTTACCATCATCAATGTGATTATATCTTCATCTTTTACTGAGTTTCTATTGATTTTTGTTCAATCTGCAACATTATCTTATGTTGTCATCCTTGTTTTTTTTTGTCATCAAGAAGATGAAGAAGAAAAAAAAAATAGTAAAAGTAAAAGATAAAATTGTCAAAATAAATTGGCTCCTAATGAACCGTTATCCAGTATAATCTGTATAATCTCATGAGGATTCATAAGAAACTGAATCAAATGTTCACTCATATATCTATACAAAAAGGTGGATATTTCAATGAACGATTACAAAAGGTAACATTCATTTACCATTGTAAATGTTAAATCAGAGAAAAATATTAGATTCGAACCTCAAAATCTTTACAATTGATCAATCAATGAGAACGTAACATTTTTCTCAATACAAATTACATATTAGAATGAGAATGCTAATAATTATCACTGCTCGAAAGTAGTAAAATGTTCAGATCGACTTTTTAATTTTCGAAACAATATAAACTGACCTAATTGTCCACCAACATACAACATAATGTGACCATATTATTTACTTATAATTGACACTTAATCACAATCAGAATAATTGAGACTTATGTTAATCAGTTTCGATTGATTTTCGTTCTCGTTTTTTTCCAAATTCAATTTCAACGATTTAATTGATTGAAATTATCATAACAATGATATATAAATGATACATGATCTTCCCATTGAAAGGATGATATTATTATCACATCATTTTCTCAGTCAAATGTTACAATATTTACACAATTTCATCAAAGGTTAATACATTCAGAAGCAAATTATCACTTCATTTCAATTCTGTCTCTAGTTATTATTATGATAATCAAATTGTATCATTTTCGATTTAATTAACTTCAACTTGTAACATTTTCTTTAGCATTGATAGAATTGTAGATATTAAAATTATCTCTTTCTGGTTACCTTGGTTAAGATATTAATCTATTATGGATTACAGGTATTAAAGGTAATCTTTATCATTGTAATATCATGGATTTTAATGATTATTAATCTGATTTAATGGTTGGCCCATTGGATTGGAAAAAAAGTGATTAATTTATTAGATTAAAATGTTGAAGAGAAGAAGGAAAAAAGTTTATTCTATCAATTGAATTTAATTCAAATTGGTAACATGAAACAAAATGTGATTTATATATCTACAAATTGATATCATTCTGAAATTCATACATGAAAATTTTTCCAAATCAATTTGATCCAAAATTTTTCGTAACTTATCAATCTTTCAATTCTAAAAATGAGAATCAGAATCAACCATGAAGATGGAACAAAAAATATAATGAGAAAAAGAAACAATCAAATGATCTGAAAAGATTCTCTTGCTGGTGAAAATTCAGTGTATCATCATCATCAGAATCTTCGTTATACATAAAAATCCATGATTTACCATGAGTCTCGAATTTCATTTAAATCCCATTAACTTAATGAAAATAACATCGAGAATATTTTCCTTGATAAGAATGGAAAATTTTATCAGAATTTTGGTAAAATATTTTTTACCTCTTCTTTTCCTTTGCTTTTTTTACAGAATAATATCAAAATACTCTGAGAGAATTTGAGAAAAGTTTCACATTGCGAAATTGAAGAAATATTTCAATTCTGTAGAAAATGAAAAGATGATTCTATCCAGTGTAGAATTATGATTCGATAATGAATATCTCTCTTTCTCTCTCTTGCTCTCTAATTCCAAATATATTTCCACAGGTAAGAACGAGGTTTATACTTGGAGGAAAAGACAAAAATTATTCCTCATCATTTATCATCATCATGTTATCATCGGTTATTGTTAAACTATTATAAAGGTAAAAACATGAACATGATGAGCACAATGGATGAAATTTGATATTTATCAAAATAATAATTTTGTTTCATGTTACCTGGGAAACTATTGATATATTTTATTATCATCATGATTATGAATCAAGTCGGTCTGAGCGAAAATATTAAATAACAGAAATGCTCCGATAATTAGCTGAGTAATTTAAATAACATGGAATAGGAAATTTCCTATTCTTCTCCAAGCAAACAATCAGATTCATCCAATGAAAATATTTTCATTTTCTTTTCTCAACTCGTAACTTCAGGGTGAGAATATCCTAGTGATACCCTTTTCATGGGTGATTGGAATAGTTAATTGTTGAGTTAATCAATTTGATTAATTGCATGAGATTTTTTTTCCATTTATCTCAAAGTGATTAGTTAATTTTTAGCCAAAAAACTTGTTGATTTATGATATTAACAACAACAGAATCGATAATCAGTTGGGACCAGAACGAAATTAATAATCTGAGCATGAATTTATATTCATAGACTTTGAAGTTTTTCCATGAAATTTTCATCTAGACTTTCATGATCATCGACTCAGTTGATGTTCTTTCATAAGAGTTTATCAATTCAACTCAATTGATTATCTTTTTCCACTTAATTCTGAATTTCTCTAGAAATCTGAATATTTATTTCTTGTCATTATTAATTATAAACCGTTAAGATTTTCATGTTAATCAACATTCACCATGAACAAAAGAACGATAAAAATCACCAAGAGAAATTGAGGAAAAAGATATTGTATCAGTTCAAGTTGACAGATTAAATTGAATGAAACACTGAATTCAGAACTTTTTTGTTCGACATTGAAAAATTGTTCTGGCAAAAAAAAACAATATCATGTATGAAAGTGTCAATAATTTCATGAGAAAATAATTTCAATAAACTTGTCAGAACTTTTCTTTACTTTTTCTCAATTGATGACATTCTTACTCGATGTTCATCATGTTTTCCAATGAAAATATTATTATTACTGAATCATGATAATAATATCAATCAACATGAGCTTTTTACCCTGCTAAAGGGGAGAATACACAATGAAAAATAACATGATGTTTGATCAATTATTTAGTTGCCATGATACTTGATATGTGAAAATGAAATAGGAACTGAGGGAAATTGTTTCAAGAAAAAAAAATCAGGATAAAATTCAATTGGATTGATAAAAGTGAATGAGAAAGAAATAATTTCAAACTGTCAATCATCATGTTAATCTCAAGGAACATTGTGATTGAGAAATTCAATTGGGCGATTAGGTGATTGATTCAATTGAGAAAATTTGATGACTCTTATTGATTTGTTATTCTATTAATCGCTTTTTCTTTCCAATTTAAATAGTTCCAACAAAGTTAATTGTTCCAAAGGAATTAAATTTAATCCAAGATCGACCCGATCATATGGTAAGTAGATTTATTCATTCGTGTTTCATGATAACCTTTAAATTGGATTCTGAATTTCATGTCACTCTTTTGGAATCAAATTGTTATGAATATCTCAACATTTTCCAAGTTTAACTTTAGTAGCTAAGAATAGATATTGAAAGATATTGATAGGAAATCGATATAAATCGAAATTCTGTTTCTGAAAAGTTCCAAGTAACAATTTAAATTCATTTTCATACTTATTTTCACCTAAAATGTTATGAATTTAAGTTCCAATAGCAACATTTTTGTGCAGCAGAGAAATGAAGAAATATAAAAAGCACCAACAAGTTACAATTTATTGGTTCATGTAAATTCAGCAGAACTGTTGATAACCATGAAGCTCACATCTCAGCATTTTGGGGGGGGGAAAGGCTGAACCAAAATCTTTGTCTTAGTAAACATTATTTACCAGAGATTTTATATCATAATAGATGGAAATACTTAGATAATTTTGTATTTTCTTTTTCTTTTTGTTCGAATTTTTTATATTCGAGCTTGTTTACTTCTTTTTTCGTATCTTGAACATTGTATTTTCATCTTCTTATGTTTACAAATATAAATATGGAAAAAAGAATAATAATAAGAGAATGTTAAAAAATCTCAGTTTAGTTCTCATTTTTGAGAGAAATGTTTTCTCCAGTCACTAGAGCATTTGAGAGCTTACTCATTAATCTTATCGACATTCACTCATGTAATGATTAGAATTCATTGGAAAGAAATTATTTACCTTTCGACTCTATCTTGTAATATTTTTCATCTTTATACAGAATAAGAAAAATTTCCACAATCATAATGTCTAATGTATTCGCATGCATAGTAATAGTAGCAGGGTATTCAGTCTCTATAAATAGAGTATGAATTTTATTCATTTAGTTAAGCTCAATATTCATACACTCAGAATATGAATTATCTGTTTTTCTTGTGTAACCTGTTGAAAATATAAGATGAATTAGAGACAATATTCAGTTGATAAGATAATTTTGTGGATACAAAGTCCCTGAAGGTAAGGATATCTCTCTCTCTCTCTCTCTCTCTCTTCATGATAATGAAAGTTTTCCTTTGCTCTAGAATTGCAAAAAAGCGATGAAATAATAAATTACTATCAAAGGTCTCAGCTGAATTCATTTTCAGGTCTTTTGTGCAGCAATCAGTTTTAAATTGTCACAATTATATAACAACAGGTAATAGTGTTAATGACGAGTAAACAATAAAAATTTATTTCAGTTTCAAATGAATTCTGATTATATAATATTTTCATGTAACTTTAAAAAAAATTTTTCTGTCAACCAATTGACACAGAAAATAAAAATAGCTTCCTTTTGGATACCATTAATATTATTAACCCTTCAGGGTGATGATTCCAAACCTTGAATCTTAATTCACATTCAATTTTAGTCCAGATAAAGCAAATGAATAAAAAATAATTTAGATAATCAGTCATAAACCGAATCAATGAATTAACATTTTTTTTCTTAAAAATTTGAAGAAAAAAACTTTCCCTAGTTGAATGAATCCCATGTATTCATTTTAACTCTCATGGTAAACTATTCATTAACTTGTCATGTAATTAATTGAAATGTTAATACTTTAATCTGAATCCAGTTTGAAATCATAAACTTGTAATAAAAAGCTTTGTAGTCATTTGGAATGGTCAATCAAATAAAATGTAAGGTGACCATTGGGAATTACCTTTCTGTCCTCTCTCTCTCTCTTCCCTGTCACAATCAATCACAATTGGTTGGCTCACGATTTCAATTAATGGTCAGTTTTTTGATAACTTTTAATAAAAACAAAATCTAACATTATAGTTGAATGAAATCAGATTGACCATTAAATTGTCTCCAAAAGTGATCATGAGCTGATATAAATTAGGAAATTGATAATATATAACCATTAGAACCCAAAATTGAGCTGTGAATGATAATCAAGGAGTGTTTTATATTTACCTTGTTGAAGATTTTTTTGTATCATCTATTCATCATGTAACTTACCTTCGTTCACCTGATTATGATCCACTTGCAATGTCAACCTTAAGGCAATGAAAACAAGGTAAATGATTAGACTCAATGATGATCTGGAAGAAGGAAAAAAAATTCATTCCTCTCATGGGTAAAATTGCTCCGAGCTTGAAAATAGAAGCCGATTAATCGTTGACAATTTAAATTGATAATTTCACCTCGTCACATACTAGATTATATGCTCATGATGATAATTCAATGAGTATCCATTGAATAGATAATCATTTACTGAAACTTTTCCGAACATTGAACAATATTGAAGAAAGAAAAAAACATTCTCATAATCTCAAGTGAAATCTAAAGTGAATCTCGTTAAACTGTCAACGATTCCATGATGTTCATGGAAATGCTCTGGAATTATCTAAATATTATCCAGCAAAAAAAAGGCGAAAACAAAGATTATAATTAGATGAGTTATCCAATTTAACTTGGAATATATTTTTTATCCAATCGATGATGAACGAGAACTGGATCAATCCCTTAATTGGTTACAATTAATCATTCATTAACTGTTATTTAATATTATTACGATCACATGTTAATAGCTTTCAAATTAATCAGTAATTAAGATGATCATGTTATCAGGAAATGATAGTGAACAACAATGTTACTACAGAAAGGGATAAATTAACATTTCTTTTATCTAATCAGATTTGTAAGTCATCACAATTAATTGATTAACCGATAAAAGTTTACGAAATATTTAATTTGATGATATTGGAATTTAATTCTAATCAATAATCTCTGTGTGGGAAGAAAAAGTTAATTAATAATAATATTTACCAATCAACTTTTGTCTGCCTGTTCAATATTTGCTGATTTATTCTGATAGATTTTGATATTTATCATATTTACTAATGTTAATCGTTACTTATTATCAGATAAATGGTCAGTTAATCAATCAAATGTCTTTGAATGTAATCAACCGGTCATTCTTGGTGAAAACTATCAGTCTCTGAGTATTAGTAACTTTTAATATTTCATCTTTTAGATGAATACTCATCAAGTTTTCATGAAGAATGAAAGAAACCACTTATCCCTTTCATCCAGAACATTCAGCGAAATTCCTTGAGCATTCTGATTCTAACAATTCTTATTATTAACCATGAATAATGTGCGAAGATGTAACAACAATAATATGAAAGAACGCTGAATATGATATGATTAAAGAAGATGAAGAAGAAAAATTATTCTCTTTAGTCAACATTATCATCATGTTGAGAGATATTCTTTGTAATATTTGGAATGATTTCTCTTCTTGCTCATCTCCATGTTAATCCTCAAGTACAATGAATCCTCAAATCTGATCAAATTTTGTTTCTTCTCATCTTTTTAACAGTTTTAATATTATCAAGGATCAAATTATTATTAAACAATTCACCGGTTGAAAGATATAACTCTCAACATATTCAGTATCTATCTACATGTGTATACAACTGAAAATTCTGTGAATATTCCCTGAAGCATTTAGAATTAGATTCACAAGTTGAATGTTGAATTATATCCTTTCTTTTCCAATCTCTCTCATTGAGATGATAGATGAAGAAGATATTGTTGCTCATGGAAATGCTGAAAGAATGAACGACGAATTGAGTTTGAATTAGGTTGATGAAGAAAAAGAGATGAAGATAAAATATATTGATATTATTGAGGTGGAAGCTCAAGGGTAATTTCTCTCTCTCTCTCTCTCTCTCTGAGTAAATTTTTTGTTCTGGTTAACATGATGAAAGATGATTTTAAATGGAATGAAATTTACTTGAAAATTTGCAACCAAAACTTTTTTTTCCTTCAGTTTTCTGTCTCTGCTTTCTATGATGTTGAGATGGTTGGAAAGTGTTTACTTAAGGGTTACTTTGCCTCAGGGTGAATAATACAATCCATCAAGTTTTCAGGTTGATCCTTGCAATCATACTCATCTTCATCACCATCACCATCATCATCATGGTAAAAAGGTTCATCTGATAATCGTAATATAATTTGAGGTGAAATTGTTTTCTCGCAACATTTTCTCATCCTATTCTAATTCAGCTTTGCTTACCTTTACTCCATTATAAAGGTATCACTGATTTCCATCATCGATTAATGATCATCAACCTTCATGAAAATCAAATTAATTGTTTATTCAATTGAATTAAAATCTCATCAATATTGATATTTATCCAGAAGAGAAACAAGTAAAGTTGATGAAAACTTTTAACTCTTTTCGAATGGGGAAAAAAAGTTTCGAGTTCTACAAAATGTATCGATTTTCTCTCTCTCTCTCTATCCATGATCAAAGTGAAAACGATAAAAGTTCTGACATTTGAGTAAAGAATTTCTCCTTTTTTTCTGAAAAAAATTTCAACTCAAACTGAAGCGATAATTAAACAATGGTTACCTGTTGATAACCTGTTGAATAGTGACAATGAACTTTTGCAATTTAATTTTGATTAATCATCATGGTGATATAATTAATCATAAAATTGAGTAACATCAAGCAAGTGTATATACAAATCATCATGTATATTATCAGATATCTAACATAACTTTTTATATAATAACTTGATGGTGATGATATTGATTCTGAAATTTTCACCTTGCTACTTACTGGATGTCTAAAATGTTTATATTATGCACTTATTATTATTATTATACAATAAGCATATAAATGTTTATACAAGTCGAAATCTTATCATGTCAACAACAGAGAATGAAAAAAAGTGTCGATTTAACTGAAGAGAGAAAATGAAAAGATGCAAAAAAAAAGATGAGGATGATGAAGAGATCTGTCATTTGCCTCAATCCACGTGACCTTTATCCTCCTTGAAATCAATTTCTTCATCCATCTCATCATCATATAGATTTAGTCTCAATCAGAATGATAATCTCTTCAATGTGTCACATTTTCTTGGTCAATTCCGACATCTTTTTATACTTTTCTTCCTCATCTCTCTCTCTCTCTCCCTCTCCCTCTTCTACCTTCATCTCACCCTCTTTGTAATTGAACAACCAATTGATGAAACAAAATCATCTAGTGTTGATCAATTGATTGACTAATTTCATGTCCATTCATACAGGTTGATCGGCGATTGTATTACAATTAGGTGATGACCATTGAGATTTAGCTTTGTAAGGAGGATTATATCATGCTGAAAATAGAGAGAGAGAGAGAGAGAGAGAGAGAGAGAGAAATTAATTGTTATTGTCATATTATTTATTTCAAATTAACTTCAATTCTAATCATGATCATGTTAAATATTGTTGATATTTCTCATGATAATTATAATGATAATACTCAACAGATTACAATTTGATTGATTGTTTGGCTACATCGAGTTGACATTTTCCCGTTTAACAGATTAACTGTATATATACATACCCAAAGAATTAGATTATTAAATTATATCATCATTAGTAATCATCAATTACTTGATTCCATAATGATAATGTCATTCTAACGGTAAATTAAACAATTAATAATCAGACATTGATCATGATTAATAGTAATAACCATGATGATAAAAACTTTTCAGTTTTCACCTTAAAACCTTGCAAACCTTTAATTATAATTAGCAATTGATTGTTGCTTTATTTTTATTTTTACTGTGGGTGAACAAATTAAATACAATCACTGAAAATCAGTGATTTTAATCATGATGATGGTCACAATTAAATTGAATCCTCTAAATTAACGGTTTAATCATAAGTTCCTAATAAAGTTAATCATGAAACCAAATAAACAAGACACACATTGCAAATGAACAGTATAATAATATGTTAACCTAATCAACTGTTAATGAACAATTTAAATCTAACCAATAGAGATTCACATTGAATTAATCTATTGAATTAGTTGATTGTAACAATCTTGAAAATCCACGTGACTTAATCTAGAAGTAAATTCTTAATCCATTTCTCATCTTTCTTTAACAAATTATCTTCATCAAGAACAATAATATTAAACCAACATCATCATTCAATTTACTGTATTAGTTTATCTCATATTGAAGTTGCTTCCATTTTCCACCTTCCATTTACTCATTTCTACCTCTTCTCATCCTCATCCTCTTCTGGTCATCGTCATCACCATGATAACTTCATTTAAGAGATGGACACACAACTAAATATAAATATTATTATCGAATAAAATTGGACTTTCCATCTCTTGTTGACAGGATAAATAAAATCTCCAGAGATGATCATCTCCCTGGTAACTGATGATTTTGTCTCTTTCATCTTCAACTTCATCTCTCTCTCTCTCAGTTTTGATTCCTGAGTGAAAATAAAAATGGATTCCAGATAAATGATTGAGTGTAATTTACATTGAGCATAATGATAACCATGGTCATGATAATGATCATGCTACTCTCTCTCTCTCTCTTATCATCATCAGTTATTTCAAGTCAATCAGTAAAATCGATCACTAGTTCTGTATTCAGCTGAGAAGAGGAAGAAAAATTATTTACTTTTCACAACATTTTCCTTATTCATCTATTTGTGCGTTCTCATCAATTTCTTGGTAGAATACAATGTCTAATATACTTCACATGATAGAACTGTGAAAATATCTCATGTAAAAATATTGCAACTCATTGAATGAACTTCAGAGCTTCAAGACTTCTTAGGTGATAAAGATGTAAAAGATGAAGACGAAAATGATTACTCGGAAGAGGAAGAGGAAGAAAAGAGAGAGAGAGAGAGAGTATCTCGCATGTGTGGCAAGTTCATTTAACCATAAACATGTAAAATGCGAATTAGATGATGAAAAATATCCAACTAATATCATGGAAAAGATAAAGTTCAATATCATTTCGATAATCATCATTTTCCTCTTCCTTCTTCAAACGTATCTAATGTTTTTATTGGTGATGAGGATGATGATATGAAGTACTGTTATCATTATCAAAGTCTTATATTAGATTTATATATCTAATATATAAAATGAAGATTGAGAGTTTCCATCAAGTATCTTCATCTTTATTTATCACATTTGAACATATGATCAACTCACTTATCATTATTTTCATGAGTCAACATTTACTGATCCATTTTCATGGGAATACTCATCATCCGTTATATTGAAAATTCATTGACTATCTTGATAATTATCATACTTTTCATATTATTATTAATTTTTGAACATAATGAAAGATTGAAAATAATTTTATTGTGAGTCTATGGATAGGAAAAAATAACAAGAGATGAGATTAGATGAATAAAATTAGATGAAAAAAATCAGAAAATGCTAAGGATGAGGATGGAGTTGGTATTGGGAATATAGATGATGATGATTAAGAAAATGAAGAAGATGAAACATGTAAGACCAATATGTAAGAGGAAGAAAAAATCAGAGACAGAATCAAAGAGCAACAAGAGAAGATGTAGAGAAAAAAAAATAGAAACTTAAGTCTCCCAAAAGGGAAGAGTAAAGAAGAAAAAGAAAGCAAAAAAGAAAGAGAATAAGTAAGAAAAAGAAAGAGGGAGATAAGTAAGAGACTACGAAGATGAAGATAAGAGAAAAGAAGATGTTGATGAAGATGACGAGAAGAAATATGAAGAAGGTGGAATAGAAGAAGAGAAGAGAAGGAAAAAGCAAAAAGGAAAATAAAGATTAGAATGAGAACCTGTAGCATTTTTATATCCTTTCGAGTTCCAAGCAGGGAGGTTGAAGGTGGGGTTGTGAAGGATGAAAGAGAGAAGAGAGAGAGAGAGAGAGAGAGATCGAAAGAGAGGGTAGAAGCTGAAAAGAAAGATTCAAAGAGAGTATGATTGATTCTATGTAACCAAGGGTTACAGTTGAAATTTGTATTGGTTTTTATAACATAGGAAAAAAGAAGAAGATGAAAAGGGAAGATGAGAGAGAGAGAGAGAGAGAGAGTAGATGATAAGGAAGAGAAAGATGATGATAAGTTGATGATGTTTTCTTGTTTTTGTTGAAAAGGCATAAAGAGACTTGCAAGTTGCTTATATGAAGCAATATGTTGGTAGCTCTCAACCAGAAAACAACATAACCTTTTTTTTATATTATTAATCAATCTGATTTCTTGATTCTTGTTGTTATTCAATTTATCATTTTATCAACTGGGTATTATCATGAAACCATTATCATCGCCAATCATGTTTTATCTTGAATCTAATTTTAAACTGTATCCATTTATTTATCCATTTTATAATCCAGGCTAAGCGATTCATCAAAACAAGTTCATCATCAGGTTTACCTAATCTTGAATCATCATCAAGCCAACAATCATTAACTGTTTTAACTGTATCCTTATGTTTCACTGTGTTTGCTGCTTTAATTGCTGGATTGGTTTTATTTGTAATCAAACGTAATCAAAATTTACGAAATAAATTACGTAATTTAATTGGTTCCATCGGTTCAGCTGAAGAAGGTACCGAAGCAGCTTCAGATTATGAGGTAAGATTTTCATTGATGGAAAAATTTATTCCCATCAATTCATTTCATTTTCACTCTCTCACCCTCTCAGTGAGTAATTTATTCATTGATAACTCATTAATAACCATGATAACAAGGTGGGAGTGAAAAAACTCCCACAATAGGAAGTTTTTGAATATCAACATAATAACAATAAACAAAAGTTACATCTATATGTATGAATTTACCGTTATTATTATTATTTTATCATTTATCAGAATTGGCTCAGTAACAGTTACCATTAAATAGTGAGAACTGTGAAATTAAATTCATTGTTTTTGTTTTCGCACTTAGATATATTCAATTACTCCCAGAGAAAACTACATGAGTATTATTGATTTTATTCTGATGATTAAATTGTGTTTCTCCATATGGAAAGATTTATATAATTATTAATCAGAATTTCATCAGAATTTTTCTTTAATAAAAGTTTTCTTACTTTTCTTTTGTTTTCTCATTCATGGAAATAATTATTTTCTTTTGTTGACTTTTTCAGGATCTTTGTCGTCAACGGATGCAGGGTAAAAATCGTAAGAAATCCGATAAAGATGAAGTTAAATCTCCAAAGGGTAAAGTGACTTCTCTTGGAAGTGGAGTGGTTGGAGTTATTGGAAGTGGCGGTGGAAGTGATTCCAAGACAGGAAAAACTGGAACTGACAGTAAATCAGTTGACTCTGGACCTGAACCATCACCACCATCAAGATCATCAACCTCATCATGGTAAGAACTTTATTTTATTTTTCTTCTTACCATTCATCACAACTGAGAGAGAGAGAGAAAAAATTGTATCAATTTAAAAGGGAATCATCAACAGTCACGAATCAAAGTAAACATTTAAAAAGGTAAACAAAGAAAAGATAATAAAACTTTGTAACTTTTTTCCTCTGAACAAAAGTTCATAACAATAGCCCATCATGTGGATGATGGTGAAAGTTATAATATTATAATTTCATTTTTCCATGATAATAAATAAATATGGATATTAATCAGTTTCTTTCACCAGAGTAAGAGGAGAAAAAGGGAATATTTCTCTTGAGAATTGGTGATCAATTTCTCGTTCTATTTTCATCAAATAAACATATTAATCTGATTCTGAGTTGAAACTTTTTCTGTTGAATGTTCACACTCAGATTAATCCATCGAACCATCATCATCATCAGCATCCTCATCATCGCCTATTTTACATTAAAACTTGTCAGAGATTGAAAAAGATACAAACACTCTGTTTGTTTGTATCACACCTTTGGTTGTGGTTTAAACATGAAAATAATGCAAAACTCAATTTCCCTCATCTTCATCATCTTCATCTCTCCCTGAGCATTATCCTCATCAGCATCGTTATCATGATAAACTTACTTTACTCAAGAGGATTAAAAATTCCGAGACTCTGATTAACTCTCATTCTTTTTCCTTATCATCTTACATGCTTTTCAGTGTCACACTTTCCACTCTTTAGCATCCTCATCTTCTCCATCCTTCATCATCATTTCTCTCTCTCTCTCTCTGCTTCTCTCCTTCTTTCTTCATTTGAGATTCTTTCTCCTTCCAAACTCTCAGTTCTTTCAAATCCTATTCATGGTTGACTGAAGAAATTTACTCAGGCTTCAATGAAACTATTTTCTCTCTCACTCTTCTTCTCTTCATCTTCACCCTCATTCTTATCACCATCTTCATCACTACCCAGTTATAGGATTTTCATTCTTATCACCAATTTTATTCCATCGAATTTACTTCATCAGTTGTACCTTTTTTTATATATTCTTTTTAAGCTTTTGCATCATCATCATCATCATTCTCATCTTGATCATCTCTTGAAAAAAAGCATCCAGGAAGAAAAATCTCTCAACTTTTTTGACACTGGAAAAAAAATTCTCATCAAGCGATAAAATATCTATACCGATTTCCGTTTCCTGTGCTAGAGAAAAAAAAGAGGGAGAGAGACTTAGAAGCAGAGATTTTCTTTTCTCTCATTTTTCTCAACTAACGCACATCATTTGATTCATTCAAAAATCATCATTATCATCATCATGAAATTCAGTCAACAAATTTTGATGAGTTTCCTTTTTTCGATAGAATAACATAAAAAAAAATAATGATCATGATGAAATTCATTAACCATTGAATATGAATAACATTTAACTCATTGTATCAATTTAATCATGAAACTGATTCCATGATGACTCTTAAACCATTGAGCAATTTACTGACTATTTATAGTAGAAAACAAATTGAACACCAATTGAGTTTAATCCTGAAGAAAAATCCGAACAGAAAAATAATCGAGAAAAAAAAACAGAACCAATAGTTTCAATGGACAAATGACAATTCTGATGAAACGAAGACATAAATGTAATAAGTATCAAGTATTAGATGAGATGATATCGAGATGATGGAAATGATAATGATGATGATGATGGAAGACAAAAAAGAAACAGAACTTTCCATGAATAAAATATAGATTGAAAATGGATTCATGATATTTAGAAGAAGAAGAAAAAAAAAGAAGATGATTATGATTGAAGAGAATAAGCATATGGCTCTTTATATAAAAGAATATTTTATCTTCATCATCATCTTTTTCTTCTTCTGTCCTCATCTTCTTTCAGTTCTGTCCCCATGAGATTCAGGAGATAAAACCTTTTGTTCCAAACTCAGAACTGTAATAATGATAATTCTGTTGATACAAATGCTCTCATATTTTCATTCACTTTCATTAAAATTGTTCTCAATGATGAATAGTTTTTCTCTTCCTGTTTTCTATTGCAACTTGATAACTTTTACCTTTCTATTTCTCGAGATGAGAATCAGTTAATTGTTCAATCTATTTACATTGTTTCCAACTAAATTGATTAGCTGATTGTCCGCCAATCTTTAATTCAATTAATAAATTGTTCACAAACTGTTATTCATTATAATTGTTAATTGTTTACATGTGTGTTTGTGTGTGGTCATTTATGATCAAATCATTTGATCACTTTAACCTTTACATTTAGATTGAGCTTTTTTTTTGTTTGATCTCTTAATTTGATTGTAATTGTTTTCCACTTGGACAATTTAATCTTTGCGTGAATAAAACAGCAGAAACAACCAAACAAGAGTCACTTTGTCAACAATTTAAATATTGTTGAACAATATTGGTAAACTGATTACGTCCATTGGTTAATTATTGATCAAGTTTCTTATATAACATTGATTGAAATTAAAGTTATCATGATTGGTGATTGTTTCAGGTTGATGGTTACAACTTTTACTATTGCCATGAGTTAAGAATTGTTCAGTTCAGAGTGTTGATGAATTGAAAGTGAAAGAAATACTTTGATTCATTGATTGTTGTCTAATTGTTTGTTTACTTATCATCAGGAGCGAGGAACCGATCACTTCAAATCTTGACATATCAACTGGACACATGATATTAAGCTACATGGAAGATCATATGAAAAATAAGGACCGACTTGCAAAGGAGTGGGAAGCCCTTTGTGCATACGAGGTTGACCCTTGTTCAACAACCGCCGCCATGTTACCTCAAAATGGATCAAAGAACCGTTACTCTGATGTACTTCCCTTTGACCATTCCCGAGTAATTCTCAATGATTTAGCTAATCCAAACCGTTCTGATTATATTAACGCCTCCACCATCACAGACCATGATCCTCGGTCACCGGTTTACATTGTCACCCAAGGACCATTACCTTCAACCGTAGCTGATTTCTGGCAAATGGTTTGGGAGCAAGGATCGGTTATTATTGTTATGCTAACCCGACTCTTGGAAAATGGTGTTGGCTCATCGGCAAGATACTGGCCTGAAGAAGGTTCCGCTTTACACTCAAATTTTGAGGTTCATCTTGTCTCAGAGCACATTTGGTGCGATGATTATCTGGTTCGATCTTTCTTCCTAAAGAATATAAAAACTAATGAAACCCGAACAGTGACACAATTCCACTATCTATCTTGGCCTGAGAATGGTGTTCCACCCAATCCAAGATCACTATTGGAATTCCGAAGGTAAGAATCAATATCGAAAATATACAAAAAAAAAAGTTCATTCCAACAAGAAATGAACAATTGTTCAACTTTGAATACACAAAACAAGTGAGAAAATAAGATCAGAATAAAATTCATTCTCATCAATTTTCACCATAAATCACTTTTCTCTCATCATTTTTGTGATTGGTGCAATTTTAATTAAACCTTTTAATTGCATAGTCACAAAAGTGATGGAAGCGAAATGATCACATCATCATCATCACCATGAACATCATTCTAATCTTATTCATAACCTTGTTTCTCACAAGCTAAATAATAATAATAAAATTCTGAATCCGGAAACATGAATATAAATACATATAAAAATCCGACTAATAATAAACATCAACACATTGAATAAGTTTCGATTACCAAACCATTATCATTATTAAACATGATAATTATGATATTATTATCTGATAGAGAAATCTATTCATTATCATGAAGGAAAAAGAAGACAAAAGTTATTTAGTTTATATTCATATCAATGTCATGAGTCAACTCATGATAGTTCAGTATACAGTTTCAGATGAGCAGGAATAGGAAGAGAGAGAGAGAGGAATTATTAATGTTATGATAATCATCTGGGAGAAACTAATCTGTTGGTGAAACTGAATTGAACAGTTGAGATGTAACTGTCAATCATGGGAAGAGGAAAAAAAAGTTCTGTAAGAAAAACAAAAAAGCGAACGGAAAATGATCCGAGAACTCTAGAAGTTTATTATATTATTCATCCAATGAATATCTTGCATGTGTCCAAAGATATCACAGAAATATCTTAATATGATTTTCGGTTCAATTAATAGATTATAATAATAACAATATGATAATTATATTGAAGAGGAAGAAAAAAAATAAAGAGAAAACATTTTCTACTCTTACCTGGAAATTTGCTTCCCTCTTCCTAGTACAATGTTATTATTGATATTATTTGTTCACAGAATGATTCAGATCATATTATCATTATACTGTTACTTTATTATCATAACTAAACTAATAGTGATAAACAAAATGAGATAAATTATATTAATATGATACAATGTGATGATAATAAACCTAAAACTTTTTTCTCTTTTTCTTTTTTCTCTCCATTTCTCTCTTCCTTATCTTCCCCAATATTTTATCTTCATGGGCCCAATGAACTCACTCGATATATTCCTTGAAATCTTCATCCTATCTGTACCTTTATCTCTCTCTCTCTCTCTTTCTCTTCGGTGCCATATCGACAACAAAATGCTAACAATTTCTTCAGGAAGGTCAACAAGTCATATCGAGGTCGATCCTGTCCAATTGTTGTTCACTGCAGGTAAGATTATCATTTATCCTGGAATAAAATTCTGTCAGAATTTTCAAAACAAAAAAAAAATGATACAAAACTGAATATATATATATGAAAAGAATAGAGAATAATACATAATATTATCAAAAAGAATAAAGAAATTATTTCTCTTCGATATGTATTATAACAATCGATTAATGTTAATATTGATTTTCTTTCTCTTCTTATTATATCTCCTGGCTCCTATTCTTATTCCCCTTCCTCTTTCTCTCTCTCATTTAATCTTCTCTATCATGGAATTAATTACCAATCTAATCGAAAATAACAATGATAATAAATAACCAGCGATGGAATAGGTCGAACGGGCACTTATTGTCTAATTGACATGGTCCTAAATCGATTAGCCAAAGGTAGGTAATCTTTATTAACTCTTACTGATTGTATTCTCATTTTTTTCTCCCTCTGATTATCATTAATTTATCATAATAATCATTACGATAACATTTTGATCAACAACAATCATATAAACACAATAATAACATGAAAAAATCCATCAGGTAAAACTATCAAATGAGAGTAACAATTTGATCAGATTAATGTTGATCATGATGATAATATAAATCATCTAATCATTCCCATGATATTGCTTGATGATCAATTCGTATTGTATTTAATTTTTATCAACAAGAAAATAATGAAAAATGATTCAGTTATCTTGGTGGGAACACAATTAACTTTACCTTTTTAACATTTAAATATCTAATTTGATTCAATTGTGTTTATCTTTACTGTTGATTGACTTTTTCTATGGTAATTCAATTGTACCGTTATTTTGTTTTCCTTTTACTCTTTCACTTTTTCTTGTTCATTCACAGTTTCATTTGCTTGTTGATCAAATTTCAAGAACAATGAAACAAAAAGGTAAATTCTAGCAAATCAACAAAAAAGAAGCAAAAATTGATACAAATAGAAAATAAATAACATTGAATCAACATCGAAATCATCTGATTGTTGTTCCAATTCTAGTTATCATCATCATCATCTCTCTTATTGTTTGATAATTTAAATTGATGAAAACATCAAACTTCACCATGGAAACACAATCATGTAAATTGTTTGAGTTGTAAATTAGTTTGAAATGAAAAAAATTGATTCCAAACTCAGTGTTGATACATTTAAGTTCAATTCTCCCTGTTAACCTGATTTCATATTCAATGTTGATGATTTAAGTTAGTGAATAAAATTACAAATCATCTGAATGAATTCATATACTTCATGGTAAAGTTGAGTATCCCTTTTTTGCTCTTAAGACCATAAAATGAATTTCCTTCCTAGTGTTGAGTATATTTTCACATTTCTCTACACTCTTTGTTCATGGTTCCATTGGTTTTCATGATGCTGATAAGATGGAAAACTGTTAACATCTTATATATATACTTAATTCAGTCTATTTGATACAATTTAATTTAATCAACATGAAACTTTTACCACTTCCAGAGTTACCTTACATTAGTTAACATGTAACTAAATACATGTACATCTAAATATATGAGGTTTACCATCAGGTTATTTGATGAGAAATTTTCAGAATTACAAAGATTAGGTAAACACATACACTGGATCTTATATATTGGAAACAGTAATTGTAAGTACATCATGTTAGTCTTGATAATATCAATCATGAAGCAAACTGAATTTATATTATAAATATTATCGAATCGCTTTAATCCTCCTTCCTTTTCCTGTTTGAGTAACAGTTTCTTTTTCATTTTCGTCATTTTTTTCCTCTTCTTCTTCTTCATCATCATGATAATGTCAATAATGTTCAGAATTTTGTGTCCTTGGTGTCTCTCCATTTATCTATTGGAAAACAAAATGAACCAAGAAAAAAATAACAATGAGTTCAAATAGATTGATGAAATTATTGATTTTCAGTAGATTGACCATGAAGAAATCAACAGGATAATAGTTACTCAGCAAAAAGATGATGTTATTTATAAAAAAAAAGACTCATTTTCCAACGATAATAATAATAAACTGATCCTATTGAATACCAGAATTGAGAAGCAGATAAATAACTAAGTTAAATCAAAATCTGAAAGAAACTTTTTCATGATCATGATGATGATGATGATAAACATCATGGTACTTGATCATTTCCACTCTCCTTGTTGGCTTCACTTTTTGTTTTCTCCATCATTCTTATCCTTATTACTGAATTTGTCAATCTTAATGTTACTTGTAACTGAGCAGCTAAAATACAGAATTGACTTCATTATTAGCTAATGAGAATATAAGATTTCTCAATGAATAAGTGATTGGACTTCAGTAGTTTTTTTTTCTCAAACAATTTCCAAGTGAATTGAATAAAGTAAAATGTGATAGTAACACAAATTAGATTAACTCGTGATCATAGTTTCAGTACTTTCCAATGAAAGATTTGATAGGTTTGAATTATTTAACAGGATCATCAAATTGACGTGAGTTTATTTATTGGTTAACACCAGTCAACCTAGCATCCAACTTATATATACTGTTGTTCAATCTCATCATCACTGAATATTAAACAGTTCAGGTCAGAATGATCCAAGTGTTCATCATCATCACCATCATCATCCTCTCCATCCTCATCCCTAACCTTAAATCAAGGAAGAAACAAAAAAAAAGCCCATAGGATGAAAGGTTATCATGGGAAAGGGAGTGAAAACCCATTTAATATTATTATCGTTCCATAATATTGGTGATATTTGTTGATATTAATGATTTTCCTTCAATCTCGACTTTGGATTCAATAAAAAGCCAATGTTGTTAAACACTATGTTTAACACCATAAAAAAAGGATAGATAACCAATCATTCACGTTTTAATGGTTCCTCAGGAGTAAATCTTTAGGTATTATCGTGATATTATCGTTTCATGTTAGAATCTGTAAATGATGATGAGAAGAGAGAAAGAGAAAATCAATATTAAATCAAGTCAATCAAATTAAAGTTTATGTGGTAATATAAGTTTTTCCTCATTCTTTCAGGGTCTTTTGTTTCCAGAAATTCAGGGAATTCAAACTAATCACAGAATATAAATAAAAACTAAACTCATTTGATTGGGGAAAACACAAAAACTATCCAAATGTTTCAATGTTAATCAATACAATTTACTATCATTAAACAATAACAATTGGTAATTGTGACAAAACAAAAACAAATCAAGAAGCAAGAAATTACAATTACTAAAGGATTAAGAAGACTATCAATTTAATTGTTGCACTGATTAATTAATTTTACCAATACAGCTAAAAGTTTGTTGATAATAATTAATTGATAATAGTTTCTCATACTAATAATAATAAGATTAGTAATAACTTTGTAACAGTAAATACAGATAATAAAAGTGTAATTACCTGATTAATGTTAACACAATAGCAATCAAATGATAATAATTAATATCTTTTATCAATGTCAATGTGTAATTTTAACACTGATTACATGATGATGATGACAAGACAATTGATATTAAGCGATATTAATTAGCTAATAATTAAAATCAGATTTACTTAAGGAGCTTATCCTTGTTATGATTACTGTCTATCCACAGGTTCATTTGGTTTAAATCGATACAGTAGTTTGTCAAACTCTTTGTTGAATGAAATTCAGAGGAAAGAGGAATAAAATTCATTAGCTTTTATCATGTGAATCCCCCTGAGTTGTTCATTCATTTTCAACAACAAGATGAGTAACTTTAATATGAATGAATGGATTATCTTCATAATCATCAACATTGTTCATCATTTTTGCTCGTTTTTCTTTCCTTTGTCTTCCATGAAAATCTTCAATCTCCTCGTTGTTCTTGGTTCCTTTGCACCATAAAACACCAAAAGGATTGTCTCTTTGTCCAAAAAAAAACAACTGAGAGAGAGAGAGAAGAAAAAAATTGTTCCATTCTATATGGTGGCTTAGGTTTTCCTGGAGAACTGATTTAATTCCTAGTTAACAAGTCTCCCTGTTTTTCCTGCTGCTTAACTTATAACAATGAACGTGGAGGGAATGATGTAGAAAAATGGGAAGATGAAGATCATGAGAAGGATGAAGAGATGAGAAGATGAGAAGATGAGAAGGAAAATGATAAAAGCGAAATGAGAAGGTAGGGAGAGAGAAAAATCATCTTATTGTCATTCTGTTTCTTTTACATTGAACAATTGTCGACATTTTGTCTAACCTCCTATGAGATTTTCATGGTCGGTTTCAACAGAATTTTCAGATTTTCCATTTTTCTCTCACTCATCTTCACAATGATCATCTTATTCCCTCATTCATACAATGGCTAATTTACTCTTAATCATATTATTGATCATTATGATTACAAGTATTACTGAATCCATGGTTTCGTATTTTTGTCAAGACTTCACGATTCTGAACAATATTTCCAACTTGTTGATTGTGTTTTCCATGTCAACAGGTAGATTTTTATAACAATTTTCATAGCTTATAATCTTTAATCATCTCTTTAAATGAAAAGATAATAATCATATGAAAAGGACCGTAATTGGATCAATTAAATTTCGTTCTGCAAACAAATTGTTCTTGATTAATAATTTTTCCGTAAATTCTGATAGCATATCAACAGTATTTACGTTGATGATGTTGAAAGCTCATCATTCATTAAAGATAAAAGGAAAAGTCGAATCGAAATTTATTAATGGAAACTTAACTTAAATTTCTACTATTAGATACTAATATCAGGGAATTGATTATTAATCACCTTGGGTCAACTCATGGAAAGAGAGAGAGGAAAAAAACCTTCAATCAACTAAATTCATAAGTATTCTAACTAATAACATACAAGTGATTCTGATGATGAGTATAATTGATGATCATGATCATGATGACTCAGTTACCAGAGTTCTGTTAAATTCAATGAAGTAAATTGAGATATAGGTTAACCTTAGTGAATATCGTTGATTGAGAAGCTCAATTGTGGATCCATTAGTTGTCTCTAAATTATGTCAATAGATGAAAGAAAAAGATACATTTGATAATCAATATAATCATCCAGAGTGTTTCATGGTATTAATAGTTCCATTTGAAACAATATCAGGTTTCCAAATCTTCTATTGTCTTTTCTCATAATTACTACAAGAGAACTTACCAAACTATAAGAGAAAAAAAAACTTTACCATATTCTTATTAACCTAAATATGAATAGAAAAAAAGAAACAGAGAAAAAAACGTTATAATTCACACTAATAACATTCCAAGTACAATGTTGTTTTTTTCTTCTTCTTCTTCATTTGTCTCTTGAGGTTCAATTGATATAAAAGGAAAAAGATCACAGAATAATCATCTAATGAAGATGTTAACATTTGTAGCTTCTTCTTTCTCCTATTTCTTTCAACAATTCACTAATCATACAATGAAATAGAGATAAAAGAAGAAGAAGAATGTTAATTGTTAACATTAGTCAAAGTAATTTGAGTAAAATATATTAGAATACATTAGATGGTGAGGGAGAGAAGAAGAAGAAGAAGAAGAAGAGGTTAAAGAGATGAAGAAAATGCAATTTATTTGGCTTACCACTTTCCTCTATTCTCTTTACCATGTTATAAGCAATTCAATCCTCTGAATGTTACACACAAAGAAAGAAAAGAAAAAAGGTAAACTTGAACTTGATAAATTAACGAAAACAACAAGCAACAAGATAATTTCACTTCCATATGTTTTCAGGTATTAATATCATGTAGTCTTTATCCTCTTCCTGGTTCCTTTTTGTGTCACCGAAAAAAAAAATAATAACCTGATGAGGAAAATGATGAAAAGAAAGATGAGTTAGAAATGATAATAAAACCTTAATATTACATTATAATATCAAGTGAGAGAGAGAGGAGAGGGTAGGAAACTAAAGGAAATTATGTAATATTGAAGCTATATAATCAATGCTAAGAGGCTTACTCAATGCATACAATAACATTTATATGTATATTATTAATACCTGAGAAATATATATTTGCAGGTATATCTTTTTCTCAAGTAAAATATACATACAAATGGATAAAAAAAAATACGCAACAGTGAATACTTATTATGAATACATAATATGAACACCATAATGTATTAATAATAATATCAAAATAGTCATATCTATATTTATGAGATGATAACTTGGTGGATATGCTTTACCTTTTTTTTTCATATATCGTAACATTTAAAGCTTTAACTTCCTCTTCAATTAAAGCATAATTCTTATTCTTCCAGCATCAATTGTACTTTTTTGATCCTTCTTTTTTTTCATCTTCCTTTACAATAGTGTCTTCCTTTCCTTGCCTGCGGCCAATCTGATTCTGTTGAATTGATTCTATTATTCATTCGGTCCATTAGCACTTGAAACTGAATTATCATCATTTGACGCTCTATTATATATTCTTAACATTCACTTCCATCTCTCTTTTTTGTTGGTGTTGTTGTTGTTGTTGTGTGGATAGAATGTAACATTTCAATAATATGGTGATGGATTAACTCGATTCTATTGTAATTCTTTTCTCCTTCTTTGCTCTATCCTTTGGCCAGAGTAGATTTCACTTGTTACCTATGAGAGGAAAGAAAAAAGATAAAATTCTCAATATAAGCAGAAAACAAAATCCAAGAGACTTTTGTTTTGTTTTTCTCCTTACGAAGGTTTTATATTTACATGTACATGTAATCATCTGATAGTTGATTCCTCGATTCCAAATACAACCATGTGATGGAAAAATAAGGAAACAAAAGAACTTTCTTATGAATATTTCATTGATCAACTAAATGGAAAAGTGAATTTTGAGAGGAAAAAAAGAGATCTTTTCCTCTCTATTCTCCAAGTCACAAATAGATGTTTTCCTTTCATGACTTTCTTTCAATATTCTCTCTTTTGTTCCTTTTTTTTGTTCCTTCTCCGAGTTGTTGATTCCATTATAAATATCTAAACAAAACAATCTCCAGGTTTGAGTTAATACCTTTACAATGATAATTATTATTATTATTTGATCGGTTGTCATTCCTTCCATTCTTGGTGATAATGTTCTTGGTGTTGTTGGCATGAAGCTCTTCAGAATCATTGATCCACTTTTATCCTTCTTCTTTATCCTCTTCTTCATCGTGAGTAATTTCTTTCAACAGGGGGAATATGTAAAAATCATAATTCATGATTGGTTTCATCATCAACTTTTCTTTCATTATCTCATCTTTACTCTGGCTTCTTATTCATCACCAATCACCAATGATACACTTTCTTGTTGCTTCCATACATTCAACTGGTAGTTTCTCCTTTTTTTCTCATACTAATTCCATGTTCACCTCTCTGGTAATGTTTTCCAAGCTTAGCCAACCATTTCTAGGAGAATGAAGGAAATAAAAATGTAGAGTTACTTATTATTATTAATAGAATGTGAATTCAAAGATTCAGAAAATTTCAATTTCTGTCAAATCGCTTATGAAAAACCATATGAATTTCTGAATAGTGTTTTTGTCTCATCTCTTTCTCTTTTCATATAATTTTCATTTACCTCAACTTCATTAATCAAACAAGACATTAGATGAAGAGATTTGTTCAATTTCAAGCAATCGGTTGACATTTGAATTTGCTTTCTTCCATTGCAAACGACAATCAAATTGTTTAATTACTCACCTTTGGGTTAATTTTTATCGAGTATCAATGGTTGTATTAATAGTTGATTCATAACAAGATTGAGGTACTAGATTCTTTATGATCAATCAGGAAATTACTTAAAGTATTTCAATAGGTCAGAAAGGTAAGTAGGTTTGAGACTTTTCGATGGCCAGAAATGATAGAAAGACTGGTGAAGTTGCTTCTTGGGCCTAAGAAAATGAATTAATGGTAAATTGTAGGATAGAAAACACCATAGCCAATGGTTAAATTAGAATTAACTGTAAAAAGAGAAGAGAAAAAAGTCATTCAGATGGTAAATAGTTAAATAGTTAATTAGTGGATGTAATCAAATATACGGAATAAAATCAAACTGTAAATGCACTTAATTGCGTTTCACACAAAATAGAAGGAAAGAAAAACTACCAATGTTATCCATTGTTTGATAACCTTTCACAACAATTAGCCAACATAATTCGATTGAATTGACATCAATTGGAAGCAAATCGATTGCCAATGACTTTACCACTTACACAGAAAATTAAGTTACCGACTTTTTTTTTAGTTTTTGCTTATCCAGGAAAATAAAGAAAAGAGGAAACAAAAAAGAAACACAAATTCTGAATTAAATGGGTTTTCTCTTCTTCCCAAAGCCAATCAGCTTTCGTTCAAATGAACATGGAAAATGTTGATGGTGATTAACACATCCAAGTGATAAAGATGGAAAACTGTTGATAGAAAAGCTAAAAAAGAAAAAGAACAAAAAAAAAACAATAAAAATGGCGAACCAATAACATAGAGAAAAAAAAATATAGACAAAGGATAATTTAACTGACCTTTTAAGAGAGTTGATTAAATAACAGCACTTAACCAAAGTTAATCAGTTAAAATAGAGAAAATATTTCACTTGTTAGATGTTCAGGTGATCATCAGGTTATCGTAAATTTAATGATAAATATAAATGAAACAAGAGATAATTAAATATTAATGAGAAAACGAAGAGAATTTAATTAATTACAGAAAAGAAAAGAAGAAAATTTTTTTTCTGATTCTCTTTAAATTGAAAGAATCTCAAATTACCACAAGAGAGAAAGTCACATGATCGAGTTACATGTGATTCTCCCCCGAATATATTAATTTACATTCGCTAATAGAGAGAGAAAAATTAATGAGAACAATTTGTTTTCTATTCTTTTTTATTATCTGGAATTGAATTCGATTAGTTAATTGATTGTTTTTGTTTTCGTTTCAGGAGCCAAAGAGATCGACATCGCTGCTACACTGGAACACATTAGAGACCAACGAGGAGGAAGCGTCAAGTCAAAGGCCCAATTTGAGTTCGTTCTCGAGGCCATTGCCGAGGAGGTTTCGGCCATTCTCAAGACACTTAAGCCCAATTGATGGAGGAGATAAATTGATTACTGTTGGTAGATTTGAACAATCAAATCGATTCACCTTCATGTTTACCAGATATTCACTGATTATGATTATTATCACCACCACAACAACACCGACATCATCATCCTGATCATCACAATCATTAATAATTCATCAACAGAGTCTTTGGTTAAAGTAAATGTTGGATTTACATTATGACCGATGGAAGGAGTTTAATAACAATTTTCCCTGTTCAACAATTAATCAACAAACAGAATTGTCATCAGTCATCATTTGTCTACCTTTGGAAGCTTTTAATGAAACATCCCGAAAGGAACATCAGTTAATCGGATTTGGAAAAGTCAACAAGCATCATCATCATTTTCATCATCGTCGTCAACAAAATGAAACAACAATCATCAGAAAATTGCTAATTAGCGATCATATGATTTAACTCCTTTTATCTTTATTGTTTTATCTTATTTCTTGTGTTCCTTTAATTTCCTCATTAATCTCATTGATTATCTATGGTGACAAATTTTACCTTTTACCTGATTTAATGTAAAAAACAAAACAAAACAAAAGAAACAAAATGTCAATGAGTTAATGAAACTTAATCTAAATCATCAAATGTCTGTGTTGAGATGTTTAATTAACATTCTTCTTAAAGTTTCCCTTTTATCGTTAATTGTTTAAGGTCAAAATCATTTCGTCTTCTTTTCTGTTCTCCTCTTTTAGTGATTATGAGAAACATTAATCTTCATCTTCTATTCGCAATCCTCATCCTAATCCATCGCACAACACAAAACACACATACGAAAAAAAGACACTCACAATTAAAAGAAATTAGCTGATTACTCAGTAACTTTCCGAATAAAATATTTATGTTTCACTCGGAAATTAAGATGAAATTACAAACCAATTCAGTGAATTCGGAAAGATTTTGATTAGTTAATCATTAAGATTATTTACATTAAATCGACGATCGAAACGAGTTTAGAAAAGGTACTTGTACCATTCGAGCTTGAGATTCAGATCGATATCGAATAGGCTCAATACTAACATTCTAAATCATTTCAAAATAAGATTTAATAATTAGAACGAATTAATTGAAAAAGAAGCTTTCGATTATTGTTATTCAAGTTTTCTTTTTCATGATTAGATGATTGATAATCGAAGTGATTACAATTCCTCCAACGAAAGCCCCCAGGCCACATGAAACTGTCGGAAAAGAGCTTGGACATTTTTCTATCATGTTATATGTTCGAGATTGATGATTACAGGTTGATTCATGATTCCTCAATGAGCTCTCGATAATTGTGATAATTTTAGAAATTTAAACAACAATGATAATCAATTTTCTATTTATATTTTCATCTGATCATCACTTTAATTATCTGATAGTGACTCGATAAAAAGTCAATCAATTAGATAGAAATTGGCTATTAGATTTGATTGTGACTCATGAATTCAAGAAAAGTGATAATTTTAAAGATTATTGATTCTTATGGAAATAAAATTTAATTACAATTATGATTGTGATTAAGCGAATCGCCGTGTTGATCATGTAATGATCAACAATTTAACATGGATTATCATGAGATGAATATCATCTTTCACTTTAGAGGGAAAAACAGTAATTTGAGATTAATTATGAACAATTCTCAATCAAGCATCAGATAATTAAGGAAACACGGAAATGTATGTTTACAATTGATTAAAGATTTCTACAGATCTTTATAAGTTAATTAGGCTATCAAATCAAATCACAATGATTGTTGTACTTTTTCATCTGAATATTTTACACGAAGATTAATAAATTAATAGTAATTAAACTTGATTAACGTTTATAATAATATCGAGCAGCAACCAAACCAATAGTGAAAGCGATGATAAATGTGAAGAAACTCAATGAAATGAGAAGCCAAGCTTTCGAATGAGATTTTGATGAATTAATTGTATTCGGATCAACATAAGTGGTAACATAGATTGAACATCTTTCTATTGAACTTTCTAAGGATTTACTTGATTTTGCATCAGGTTTAATTGAAGAAAGACGACATTTAGAGGTAATCATTCCTGATTGTGATTGATTTTCACAATAATCAAATGATTTGCAATTACCAGTAGTTATACAGCTTCCAGCGCAATTTTCAAGGGAAACATCGGAAGTTTGTAAGATCATTGATTCCTCATTAAGATTAAACTTGTAACCAACAAGTTGCTTGTAATCTTTTGATAGTATTTCTAAATTGATTGTAAAGGGGAAAGAGATCAATGAAAAATTAAGAATAATCAATCAAATGTATGAATTGTAGACTCACTTGCATAATGATCGCATTGGGTTTCGGTGAAATTCCAGATTTTACCATCAATGGCACTTGCTGAGTCTTTGGCAAGATGAAAAGTGTGAAGGAAACAAGCTTTGATTTTAGTTCTGCAATTAGGAATAGAGATTGATTTTAATTGTGAGAATTGAAAGTTAATCATAATCTAAATCACTCTTACTTTGAGTTCTGAACCATTCCAGCCTCAGGGCAGTAATCAAATGCTTCACATGATTTAGATGATGATTGGACACAAGCTCGAGCACAGTCTTCGACGCTAATGTTTTCCAAAGTTTGCTCAGCATCAAAGATCAAACTTCGACCCGGAAGTTTCTTAAAGAAAGATGAATATGATCCTGAAAAGAAAACAAATCATAATTACTATTTAAATTCACATTGATTGTTTGTATTAGACTAACTACATCAAACAATTTACAAGATTTGTTGATAATCTTTTCGAAAAGCAAAAAAAAACATCAAATATCTTATGAGTTTAAAGATTGACAATTGCGATTAGTTTGTAATCAAGCCAATTAAGTTCAGTTGAAAATAAAACAATAATCAAGTACATATAATGTAAACAACAATTATGTAATATATTCAAGTGAAAGCAAAACGATTTGGCAACACAAACATTAATAACAAGAATCATTAACCATTGCAATCAACATAATTTACTTGAATAACAATTAAATTAGTGGTAACTAATTATTTCTGCCAAAAATCAATTTCCTTTTTCCTATTTGAAAATGTTACAAATTTAACTCACTTGATAATATATTACATCCTTCACTGGAATAAGTTGATTCTTGGTTGATATTTTCTGTCAAATTGCCTAAAATACATTCACCTTTTCGTGATGAACAAAATGACACAATTAAACAATTATCATCGTTGTCACACTCGTTTAAACAAGATGAATAATCTAAGCCAAGCATCGAGTTTCCTTGGGACAATCGACGGCCCGACAAAAAGACTTGATAATGATCGGCGATATTAGTTAGTCCAACATCGTCATCTTGGAAAAGTTTATCTGGATCACCAAGTTCATCTGGACCCGAAACAATGAACAAATCTAATGCCGAAAGATTTGGATCTTTTACATTTAATTCTCCTTTGGAGATTTTCGCCTTAATCTCATGGATTAAACTCTTGGACGATTTAAGGAAATTGCTTCCACTTGAGTTTTCGGTGAAACGAAATAATTATTACGACTAAATCCATCACAATCAGTTGATTCCTCGATGAAAGGATAAGTTGTTCCCTTTGTTGAACTGAATAAACGACACTCGAGATTATTACAATACGCAAAGTTGGTACAAAATTCATCTTCGGAACAAATTTCACCACAATCTTGTTCGTGATCTCGCTGGATAATTTTGGTTGGATTCTCGACTGTGAAACCAGGAGTCTTGTAGAAATCGTATTGATAACTTGGTCTTTCCAATAGTTTACACGAAATGTAAACGACACTTCCAAGGTACGAAACTTGTATATCTGGTATTCGAATCTCGGGAATAAATGAAAGAACTTTTCTGGTTATCGATTTTAATACTTCGTCTTGATCTTTCCAAGATTCAAGGTCGTCATTTTTACCAGAGAAAACAATTTGAAACCAAGTGTAGTCTTCAGGTTTATCGAAACATTCAGAGATGTCAAATCTGTCCTCGAAATCGATTGCTTTTTCTTGGTATTCTATCACTTTAATATCTATTTTTTCAACAACTTTAACTGCATAAATTTCAGTCAATTCACGGGAAGGTTTGATTACCATTCTTAATGGAGCTTGATTGCGAACTGATTGTCTTTTGTCGTATATGGCAGGGAAAAAGTAGGTCACAAGTCCATCGAATTTTGCATCATCGGGAAAAGCGAAAAAAGAGTTCAATTTTGCTTCGAAAATATCCAAACGTTTATTTTCTTCGACAATTTGTCCCATGTAATTTAATTTTTTACTCTCCAAATTAAGAACCGAATCATCTAGAAGATTGTAGGCTTCATTTTCAGCATAAGGCCAACGAAGGTAAGTGAATCCATAACCCGCTCCATTAGAAGCTTGATCTTCAAAACATGAACCCGAAATTGGATCAATTTGAAAATCAATCAAAAGTTTAGGGTCATGAACGATTCGCTTTGATAATCCATTCTCTTTAAGATCATATGAATAGATTCCTTGGTATCGAGCTATTCGTGCTGTAGTAACGGCCGATCGATCAGGTTGGGTGAAAAAGAGAGCAGCTTCCATGTCCAAGGTAAAAGTATCGGCCTGAGCAAATTGCGGGATCACAATAGTCGAGGGGTTGAGTCGTTCGCAACCATAACCATAAGGGTAAGTAATCAAATCGTTAAGTTGATTAGTTAAAGGTTCAAATGTGATTACATTTAGAGTAGTGGTAAGGGTTGGATCATCAGGATAAGTGGCAACCAAACGGACTGGAAAATTATTATTCGAGTCAAAGTAAACATCGATATAAGGTCCGTCGTCTTTTAAACAGTAAAACCATTGATAAACTTGACGACCATCAAGATTAACTTTATCCAAATATCTTAGATTATCCAATTTGCTTCTCATATAAGTAAATAAAAGCATTGGACCTAAGACTTGAGGGTCATTTGAAATGTCCGTTTCATCTGATAATCTACTATATGCTAGCCAATCATTGATAATTGATTTTTTAACATTATCAGTTAAATTTTTGGCAGAACAAGATTGATCAATACCAACGAAAAATGATTCTTTGGCTTCTAGATGGTACCAGAAAAATTTATGTTGATAACCAGCTCCATCATTAACCTTAACGTTTCCCACGAAATTCAGTTGATTAAAAGTCTCATCGATGGTAAATAAATGACCAGAACCAGTGACCAATTCAATTTTAGTTTGATATCCAGTTTGATGGGCAACAAGTGATGTTATAAGAGGAACTTGAGATGCTCCAGTTTTACCTTTATCGGGACAGGTAAAAGCTTCACATGAATGGAAAATAATAAAAGAAATTGAGAAAAGAAATTGTAAAAACATTGAGAACACAATAGATCCGGAAAATTGTAACATGATAATTACTAATTATTATTCACCTGGATTAACAATAGACTATCAAGGAACTAATTATTTCCTCGACTACTGTGTATTCTTTGTCGATATCAGCAAGATCCAGTTAATCATGGGCGTAATTAAAGTATTAAAACACACAGAGAGATAATCTTTGATCCAAGATTAAATCAGGTCATATCTTCAAAATCATTTTCCATTGGAAAGATAATCCAAGATTATTAATATTATTCATCGTTTCCAATCAGTGAGTGAGGTGTTTTCAATGAATCAATCAACTGCGGGGAAAAAGTGATCAACACCAACACTCATTGTTAGAAAACGCCTGCATCTTCATCATGGGTTGATTGGAAATTCCATCCATCTAATAACTTAGAATATGGAGATTTTAATCCAATATGATCCAATTAGAAAAACAAAAGATTCTAACAAAAGAAACAGAATAGAAAGAAAAATTAACTCAGAGTAATTAGAAAACGGTGTTTATAGGCCAGTGGAATAAGTGACCAACAATCAGAAGGATTATTGGTACCATTAGAATTAGAAATGAAAGACAATGGAAAACAATGTAACGGTTAATCAGATGGAGACAAAAAGAACAAGAGATTTAGGAATAGAAGAAAAAAAAACAAACCCATGGTGGTGATAGAAAATTATCATGTTGAGATTGACAGAGAAGAAGAAAATTCAATTCCAATGTTCCATCCAGAGATTTTATCTTCAGGGGTACACCCATTTTCCAACCTTGGTGTTTTTACCTAATCACAGTTGATCAAGTAAATGATTGTTACCTGGATAGAGAGACACAGAGAGAGAAAAGGGTGAAAACAGTTATAATTGTTGTTATTGTTTCGATAAGAAAACAAAAGCAATTGAAACAAACAAAAGGAGAGAAAAAAGACAAAGAAAATAATTTCTTCCTGTTTATCCACCACAATCGCCAAGATCCATTACCTGGAAAAATGAATTGTAATTAAAAGTGAAAACATTTACCTGTGATTTTGAGACCAGATGATTAGTTTAATTGTCCATCAACTGTCGAGTGTTTTGCATAATCATCCCAATAATCTAATCGTTTGGTAACCTCATCAATCTCTCACTTTCTCACTTTTCTCTTTTCTCTCTCTCTCTCCGCAATTTTCTCTCTCACTTTTCTCCCTTTTTCTCTCTTTCCCTCACTTTCTATTTCTCTTCTTTGTCAAATTCTCATTCACTTTGATTGTTTATTTTTTTCTTCCTTTTTCATTCTCTTAACAATTTAAATTATTTTTCCTCTCTAATTACATTTATTGTTGTTGTTGTTACTTTTTTCTCTCTCCAAGTGAAATCAACTCTCTGCAAATTAGTGTTTTTGTTTTTTTTTAGAATTTTTATCTTCTGGATAATCCCAAATATCCGTTAATCTGCAACCATGGGAAGTTTATTGAGAGGTGAAGAGATGTCTCTTTGTCAATTGTTTCTTCAATCCGAAGCTGCTTATTTTTGTGTCGCTGAATTGGGTGAACTTGGTCTGGTTCAATTTCGTGATGTAAATTGATTATTAATTTTACCTCTTCCATTTTTCCGGTTTATCTTAGAATTTCTATTTCCTTCTTAATCTCAATCTCTTTTCTTTTTTTCCAATTTTCTCTCAAACACTTTTCTCTCTTGGTGAAAACAATTGAACTAATCTAAGAATTGTCTTCTTTAGCTTAATCCTGATGTGTATCTATTTCAACGGAAATTCATCAGTGAAGTCATGAGATGCCAGGAAATGGAGCGAAAGATAAGTATGTACATCTTAACCTTTACCCTCTCAATTGATAGAGTCGAGAAACATGTTATTATTATTTCATTTCTTCGTAATTCTATTCTGTATTTTCATTTTCATTTTCATTTTCTTTTTCCAGATATTCTTGAGAAAGAGATCAAGAGAGATGAGATACCAATCTGTGATAACAGCGATGTACCAGAAGCACCACCACCAAGAGAAATGATCGATTTAGAGACCACCCTGGCCAAACTGGACAACGAATTGAAGCAAGTTAATTTCAACATGGATGCTTTAAAGAAAACATTCTCAGAATTATGTGAATTCCGTCATATTCTCGAGAAAACTCATGCATTTTTTCTTGAGGTTATTAGTCCATTTCCATATTCTGCCACCCTGTTGTTTCATGCTCTCTAATTTTTCTCCATCCAATCTAATCAATTCTCAATTTTCCGTTCATCTCTTTACCGTTAATCTTATAATCTTTAGTTTCCATTTTTGTTTTCTCCTTCCTCCAATAGATGCAAGGAACTGGACTAGGTGAAGATTGGACCCAATTAGCTGGAGATGATGCCATAAACCTCTCAATCCATGCTCACGTTAAATTGAAGTGAGTTTGTTTTAATAACGATTGGTAGTTTTACCTTTATTTACCTTGTTTATCATCCAATAATCTTTTGATAGTTGATATTATAATCCAACAAAAAGACCAACAGCAACTTGTTGATTCTGTAATCTATTGCTATACATACGTATAACTGTTAATTGTCAATATCTAATCTAATTTTTTTTACTCTCTTTCTCTTCCTCTTCGACTTTTCTTTTAGCTTTGTAACTGGTGTAATTCGTCGAGATCGATTGCATTCGTTTGAACGAATGCTTTGGCGCGTTTGTATGGGCAATGTCTTTTTACGTCAAGCCTTTATCGACGAACCCATTGAAGATCAATTTCCGGTGATCACGATTTCAAATCAGTATTTATCATCTTCTTCCAAGGAGAACAATTAATGACTCGAGTGAAAAAGATTTGTGAAGGTTTTCGAGCATCACTTTACCCTTGCCCGGAAACTGCTATTGCCCGGAAAGAAATGATCACCAATTTAACCTCAAGGGTTGATGAATTGAAAATTGTTCTTAAACAGACAACTGAACATCGTTATCGAGTATTAGCCGCGGCTGCTAAACATTTGAACACATGGAAGGTTAAGGTTCGAAAAATAAAAGCGATCTATCTTTCGCTTAACATGTTCAATTTAGATCTTACTAGGAAATGTTTAATCGCTGAATGTTGGTGTCCCAATAATGACCTGGAAAGAGTTCATATTGCATTGAGAAGAGGAAAAGATCGAAGTGGATCATCCGTACCTTCAATTTTAAATTGTATCGAAACTAAGGAAATACCGCCAACATTTCATCGGAATAATAAATTTACTCAAGGATTTCAGAATTTGGTTGATTCATATGGTGTTGCTTCCTATCGAGAAATTAATCCAGCCATTTTTACAATAATCACTTTCCCTTTTCTATTTGCTGTTATGTTTGGAGATGCAGGTCATGGCTTATTGATGACACTTTTCGGCCTTTGGATGGTTATGAAAGAGAATTTCATTCAATCGAAAAAGTCAACAAATGAAATATTTCTTACCTTTTTCGGTGGAAGATATTTAATCCTATTGATGGGACTTTTCTCCATCTACACGGGTTTCATTTATAATGATATCTTCTCTAAATCATTTAACATTTTCGGCTCATCATGGGTCTCATCTCATCCACCCGACAAAGGTTTATACCCTGAGGTGATGATGTTAGAACCTGGTAAAGAGTATTCAGGATCACCATATTGGTTTGGAATGGATCCTGTTTGGCAAGTTGCCGAGAATAAAATTCTCTTCCTCAATTCATATAAGATGAAACTTTCAGTTCTTCTTGGAGTTGGTCAAATGCTGTTCGGTATTATCCTTAGTTTGTACAATCATCGATATTTTAACAATCAATTGAATATCTACTGTGAATTTCTTCCTCAGATAATTTTCACAATCTCCATTTTCGGTTATCTAAATATTCTCATCTTGGCAAAATGGATTTTCTATGATTCTTCTGGCTCTTCATGTGCTCCATCAGTTTTGATTATTCTAATCAACATGTTCCTCTACAAGTACGAAGATACTCCATGTTCATTAGCACCAATGTATTGGGGTCAACAGTTTATTCAAACAGTTTTGTTGATAATCGCTCTCTCCTGCATACCCTGGATGCTCTGTGTTAAACCTTACTTTCTAAAAAAGGCCAACGATGAGCGTAAACAAATGACCTCTAGACCAACGAACAATAATAACATTATAATCGAGAATGAAGTTGGCATTCCTATGGAAATTTTAAACGATGAAGTACCCAAAGAACAAGAGAAAGTAACGGTTAACAGTGTCGAGAATCATGAGAACCATGAAGAATTTGATCTTGGAGAGATAATCATTCACCAGGTAATCCATACAATTGAATCTTGCCTCGGATCGATTTCTCATACAGCATCGTACCTTAGATTATGGGCATTGAGCTTAGCTCACGCTCAATTAAGTGAAGTTTTATGGAATATGGTTCTCAGAATTGGCCTAACAACGTTCACTGGTTTCGCTGGTGGACTGTTAATGTTTTTCATTTTCGCATTTTGGGCTTGCTTAACAGTTGCCGTTCTACTTTTAATGGAAGGTCTTAGCGCTTTTCTTCATGCCCTAAGGTTACATTGGATTGAGTTTCAAAGTAAATTCTACGCCGGAACCGGTTACAGTTTTCAACCATTCTCATTTGAAGTAATTCTTAAACAAGAATATGAAGAACTTAATTGAATGATGGTTTGCCAAGAATAAAGAGAAAAGTTCAAATTCGTAGTCTGCGTAGTTTGGGTGATTCTATTTTCTTTTTGCAACAACCAATCCAAATTGCAGCATAAAAAAAAGAAATGAAAATCAGCTGATCACAGAAAAGGACCTAAAGATAATCACATCATTCCAGGCATCATGTTGCTTGTTGACAGAGAAAGTGCCTTTATTGACATTGTTTTTCCTTCTCTTTCCACAATTTAAAACAAAAGTGTAATTATGTTTCTACTTACAAATGAGATAAGATGAAAATCTAATTTGATTTCTTCAAACAATTAACTGTTAACTTGGACTCTCTCTCTCTCCAATTGATGTTTAGTCTCCACGTGATTGTTTCTTGTTTGATTAAACATCAAGATCAAATCTTCAACAACAACAACATCATCATCATCTTCGTCACGATCGTCAACTCAATTAACTATTTTGGTTAATTTTCTTTTTTTTGTTAACTATGAAATTTTCATCACCAGCAAGTGAACAACAGTAATTGCAATCTAATTGCTACATTTTCTGCATCTTATCAACTCAATTATCAGCTTAATTGGTTTCCAATAACATTCATAAAACTAGAATTGATTATATTGGAAGATAATCAACTTCATCTATGTGATCATATTTAATACAATCCATATCTTTATCCTCCTTCTCATCATCATCATCATCATCACTATTATCTTAATTTTATCATGATAATCACTTTTTGTTAGTTCTTTTTCATGTTTTCACATTTATTACCTCGACAATTAACTGGGTTTCACTTCAACTCTTCAGTTTCCATTCTGAAAACAAAGAATATCATCAAAATGTCAACATCAACATCGATCAAATCATCATCTCGTGTCACCAAATTTTCACAATTAATTGAAAGTTCCAAGTTACCCTTCTATTCAATTGAAAATATTTCCACCATCGAGTAAATCATTGAATGATTTGAAAATCTACTCAGTGATTTAAGAAAATATCGACCCTTATTCTGTGCCATCACATCTAAAAGTACTTCCCGAACATCGAACACTGAATCATTATCTCGATTTGATTTGGCCCGTCTGATAATCACCAACTATGGATTCGATATTCTCCTTCATGTGACCTGTTCAGATTTAATGGATTCCGATCAGGGTAGAAAATTCCTACAAGAAGCTAAAAACTGTGGAATCAAGTATATTTTTGCTTTGCGAGGTGACGATTTAGATGAATCAACGGAACGGGAATTCAATCATGCCATTGATATCGTTAGATTTATTCGAGCCGAGTTTCCAAACGATTTTGTCGTCGCGGTCGCTGGTTATCCTAATGGTCATCCATCGGTATCATCCCTTGCTGAAGATGTTAAATACTTAAAGGCCAAAGTTGACGCTGGTGCTGATCTAATAATAAGCCAATTTTTTTTCAATGTTGATGTTTTTGCCCAATGGGTTAGACTCTGTCGATCAGCTGATATAAAAGCTCCCATTTTACCGGGAATATTTACCTTTCCATCTTATCGATCTTTTACCCGAATGATGAAAACAACCCAAGTTCCGATCTGTAATCAACTGGAATCGAAAATTGAAAATATTTCAAATTGTGATCAACAAATTAAACAATTTGCCATCGAACAATCAACACAATTGTGCCTTAATCTAGTTAATCAAGGACTTTGTCCTGGACTACATTTCTTTTCCCTCAATAAAGATTCAACGTTACAAGTTATCGAGATGATTGAGCCCAAGATACCGAGGACAACAATTAACCAACAATTATTACGATTATCGGCACAATTAGAGGAATTTACTCTTGATTCTGGTTCAGAAACATTGGAAAAGAATCAACCATCAGTGAAAAGCGGTGATAAAACACCAGAATCATCCAATTATCATCAGAATTAATCAATTGATCAGTAACCAACTTTTGTCTTAAACATCCTACAGAAATCAAACTTCATCCCACCGAAAGTCATATTATTCCTGATAAATCAAACATCATTTATGAGATCAAACAAGTGGATCTTAATCACAAATCTCATCAAAAATCATAATCATAATCATCAACCACAAACATCATTAATTGATTTCAAATGATTATCAACCACCTCAAAGATCTGATTAGAGATGTGATCAGATTTCGTGTTGATGACTTGAAGTTAATTGTTTTCTTTTCTCCCTTTACGTTAATGATTAAACCCAAAGTTATCATTAAATCAATTCACTTATCATTACAAACGATAAGTAATGCAAACGAAAAACAATCATGTGCAATGACGTATACATATTAATAGATTTCAAGTTATCTTTTTGTCTTTTTTTGTAAATAAAACTTTTTCTTCAAGAATATTGTATATTAATTGTTACTTTTTAATCAACATGATCAGACTTAATTGTTTGATACAAAGTGAATCATAAATCACGTTTACAATGACAATCAAGTAAACAGATCACGCATTCAAAGTGTAACATTTAAATTTTCCCATTAATGTCTTATGATTAACTTCAAACAAGAGTTTGATTAATGATGAAAACAAATACATTTAAGATAAGCTAAATTAGATCAACACATTTATGAAGCAAATCAAAGTCAATTTGTGGTTATTTTAACTACAAACACAACAATAATTAAGATTTACTGGTAAATATTAGTATCACGTCCTCATGGCTATTGACAGTTGAAAATTTCTGATTGAAACGATGAGATTTTATATCGAGCTGAACATTGGAAATGTTCAAGCTAAATTAAAGATGAGTGATCTTGAATATGATGATCAATTGAATGCTGTTCCAAAGCTAATCCAAGAGTAAGGAAATTGTCGCTAATGATGAGACGAAATTCGGAGTAATAACAATTAAATGAGCGAAAGAGAATCCAATATCTTGACGATTAATTCTCAATAAGAATAAGTTTATCTGAAAGAGGAAAAAGAAACAAAAAACATTATAACAATTTCAAAATGTTCGTGAGGTTCAACGAACCTCGTCCGTGTACTCGACAGATTTTGAATCGAACGAAAGAAGATAAACATCGTTGAACACTCCGGCCGCAGATCTATTAACACGAATCAGATGATAGGTGACAATGAGACGAAAGCCATTTGTTTTATGAATATGGCGAGAATATAAATCAGTCCATAAATCGTGTGCTCTATTGAGAAAAGATTACTAAAAACGAGTAAACAATTGGCAACTGCGAATGTGTAGAAACCAAATAATACGATAATCATGGCATCTTGAAGTGATGATGTATAACATCATCAGATGAAAATCAATCAAAATGCGCGAAAGCCATTTGTATAATGAATTTGGTGAGAATATATAAACCAATCCACAAACTGTGTGCGATTGAGAAAAGATTACCTAAATTGTGTGTTGTAGGGTGACTTGGTGTCCGATTATATGAAAGCAAAGTTGTACTCACTTGAATGCTCCCATCATTCTGTCTTCGAGAACCTGAACCTATTCCTCTTATCACAATCCTGGCAGCCTGAACAATCTGGGCAATTTGGAATGTTTCGTTTGTACTATTATAAAGTCATAACAAAAGATATTTTAATAAAATGATCATTGTTTCAGAAATACTGATTAGTTTCGTTTTAAATTGACTGTTTGTTGAATCACAAGTTTTCTGTTTTTTCAACTGTGAATTTGTGACAATTGAACTAGTTCAGAAATATCGTTACCAATGAAAGAAAAAGTGTTAATGAAATTGTTGCTAAAGATGAAACGAATTTCGGCGTTATTATGTAAGAACGAGCGAAATAGAATCCAATATCTTGACGATTCATGCGTTTCAGGAATAAGTTTATCTGTGCAACAAAAAATACGAATGAAATTAAACATTCTGGAATCTACAATAAAGATCATACAAACTTCGTTAGAGTAATTTGAAGATCCAAAACATAATGAAATTTGATAGACCGTATTGTATATGCTAGATGGCATTTGATTTACACGGATCAAGTGGTATGTAATTAAGGAAACCAGTCCAACAGCACTAATTAAAGACAAAATAAAACTTCCCATAATTGTGATCATATTAGCAATGAATTTATAGTCAAGTGTCGCTGAAACTCTCAAAACATACAAATAAATAGATACTTCAGACACATAGAAAGTGAAAATAACGGTTGACATGATTTTATCAATTTGACTTGTTGTTTCTACCGCTTTGAGATAACATAATCGTAGAGATTTGATTGCGTTATCAACTACGTCCGAATGAGCTTCCATTTTTGATATCTCCAGCCTCAAAGCAGTAAGACAATGCTTTATCACAACAAATATTGACTCCAGAAATATACAATTTTCAATGATGAAATAAGCGGCATTTAGAGAGGCCGTCTTGGATATAAATCGTATAATGGAGTACAGAATGTTGTTGTCATACTGATCTAGAAAATTGAATATCATAATTCTATGGTATGGTCCAGAATTCCATAATAAATCGGGAATTGCTATAATTAAAAGCAACACAAGAGCCTTTATTCGATTATAATGAATATACTCAAAGGCTACTTTATCTCTTACATTTACCAGATCTTGGCGCAAATTTAGAAACTTTTGATAGCTCTTGCGAGTCGATAATAGTAATAAAAACGACACGCTGTTAGCTAAAACTGGAAGTGTATAAATTAAAGATGTGAAATTGATGAAGTCCGATAGATTCTTAGCTTTAGTATAAACTAAAGTATATTTTCTATTAATTATGTTATCCAGCGCATCGTATAGCTCCCAGAAAAACCATAGAATAGTACAGGATAAAATTATTACATGGACAAGTATGTAGCACAGTCTTACTCCCAGGATCGATCTCGATATAATGTTTATCGGACATTGATGAAATTGAGACATAGTCTTTGGCATTAACGAACTAGTATACTTTTGTAGTTTCAATACAGAATAAACAATGGAATTTGCTCTTGAGTCAAAACATCATTTCTAAACACTTTGTATTTGTATTCGTATTAAGGTTTTATTCCTGATAAAGAGATTATAAAAAGTTTAGTTGTCATTTTTGGCATATTATTATGTCAAAGGAAATATGTATTACTGAAATGAGAATCAAACAATTGGTCAAGTCCCAAGGTTTTGTGAAATTTTCGCTATGATTTTGTATTTCTAGAGGACCGAAGAAAGAGTTAAATCGATAGTTAATTGATGGGGAGAGGGAAAACAATTAACAAAGATCTGAGTCTTTAGTTTTAGAAAAATGTTTGCATATTCATTACAACTTAAACTTTGTTTAAGTTCTAATTAGATTTAAATCTAAAGTCTAGGTGACGAGTTGTTATGTTATTAGATTATGTTAATAAAGCCTATTGTATGTAGCTATAAAAATTAGTTAAGGTAGCAATGAATAGGCTATTGTTCAGGTTCTAACGCTTTTCTTATCAAAATGATTTAAATAGTATTTTTCGAAGATTCGGCGTTTTTCTTGAATATTCTAAACAGCTATAGTAATGAAAATAGTAATTTATACAGTAAAAGTTTGAACCTCAATATTAAACGGTGAGATTTCAGCTAATGGTTTTGATAAAACTCGTTATGCAAGCTAAAGAGCTTTGTTATCTGAAAATCGATTTAATAATTTTTTGAAATTCGGCTCACTGAATGGAAGGCAGCTTAAAGATTAAAATTATAACAAAAGCTTGTGTGTGTATAAAAAGTGAAATCATGTTCAATAAAGAAAAAGATGATAAAGATAACGTTACCAATGTTGTTAACACAGTGATGGATATCATTGCCAGAGACGAAATAAATTTCGGGGTTATGATGAATGATCGTGCAAAAGATAGTCCAATATCTTGACAAATCACTTGTTGTAAAAATAAGTTTATCTGTGATGAGTGGAAAAAAATAAGTAAAACTAGCTTAGTAGACAGGTTAAAAATTCTACGAACCTCATTGGAGAATTTTGAAGAATACGAATAAAATGAAATTTTATAAACATTGTCAAAAATATAGGAGGCTGTTTTATTTATAAGAATCAAATGGAAAGTAATAATAGAGATGTAGCCTATTTGTTTTGATAAACTAACAGCTATTTCTAATATTATCACAGTTTGATCATAGGCCAGTTTATGAATCATCATTCTATGAAAGTTTGATAAGCAATTGGATACTTCGAACGTATAAAAAACTGTTATCATCAGTGACAAAGTATTATTCAAATAGCTAGTGGCTTCAGCTGCTTTGAGATAACATAAACGTAGATATCTAATTGTATCAATATTGGTTTCCATATTGGTTTCTGGCCTTGACATCTCCAAATTCAAGCCTGTTAGACATTGATTTAGAACTTCAAATATTGATGTGAGGAAAATGCAATTCTCGACAATGAAATAGGTTGAATTAATTGAGGCTATTCTGGATATAAATATTATCATATAATACAAATGATGCGTTATATCCAGGCGAAAAAAATCAAGCATCATAAATTTTGAGTACATCGTTAAATCCAATAATATCTCAGGAGTTACACTCAAAAAAATCAATAAAAAAGTCATTTTTCTTTTATTTGAGATGTAAGCAAAGTCAGTGATGCTTTGTAGGCTGCCAAAATTCTGTTGAATATTACAAAAATTCTTGTAATTGTCCTCAGTTAAGTTTATAAAAGAAAAAGAAAATCCTTGTGTCACCATAGAAAGCCCACTAATGAGAGTTGGATGATAAATAAATTTAAAGGCTCTTTTCGCGTTGTTCGATCGTAGCAGAATAGTAACATATTCATGGAAAGTATTTAAACCAACAATTATCAATCCACAAGAAATGAAAACATGTAAAAATACATGAGATAGCTGTTTTTTCAGAATCGATTTCGATGCTAAACTTGTTGGCACTGATTTTGTAGAGCATTTTAAAATTGTTATTGTTGGAGAGATCATCTCTTATTGGTGATAATAAGCTGTATGGCAAATAAAAATGAAAATTAAAACCGCTGATTGCTTGTGCTCCGGTCAAACATCAATAATGTTATCAATAAATTACTTCTGAATATAAGAAATAGATGATTAAATCTTACCAGATCATACTGATTAGTGAAAGCTTACAGTTTATCAGCTTAGCATCTAATGGTGAGCAGAAATTCAGTTAACTATAAACCAGTATTCTTGATCATTTCATTATTATTCTTAACCAATAATTAATAATTTACATGATAACAGACTTATACTGAACTATAATGCTACTAGATTGCAAAAAACATCATGAATTTAAGTTGAACTTACCCAATATTTACAATAAAATCAGTATTAGACTAGTTGTTATTATTAAATTGTGTAGCTGTTAACAAAATGCACGAAAATCAAAAGAATACTCGCGAATGTACAAAT